CGAGTTAAGTTGCTCTAAGCTTCAAAAAATTGAAACAAAATCTGTGAGTCAAACAGGGATGTAAAACCTCAAGAGAGTTGGTGCTAACCCAGCCAAGGAAGCAAAGTTAACAGTAATGTTGTGAATGAACCATAATGAGGCATCTCAGAAAAGCGGCACAGCTGCTGCCACTATAACCTAGAATTTAAGAAAGAATACTTCAACATCTCCAGAGACCACAAATCACACACTGATACCGTCAAATGATGACCTAAGAGCGGTGACCTAAGAGGCCTGTTCAATTAGGAATCTGCAATGCTTGAATCAACTTTAACACCCTGACTGCAGGCAACAGAAACCCAGGGAAGGCTCAAAAATTTCAAGGAGTAATAAGCTTTGCAGTGGCTAACGTAAACACTGCATTATATAATGAAGATGATGTGTTCTGAAATACCGGGTTGCAGCTTCTGTCGCCACTGCTCAGAGTTATGATTATTTATAATCTACTTCCTGTTTCCAGGTGCATTTACAAAAACATAAAAGGTGACTTTTGCTCAGCACTTTTAGCCTATTATCCTGCTCCACTGCTGAAAAACTGAATGGAGACAGAATTTTTTAAAAAACTAACATATTTGTGGCAGCTTCAAATGTAGCCATACCTTTTGTAGAAGAGACCAAATTCCAAGATGGTGGACAGAGTATGAAAAATAAAATAAGTATTTATGTTTTCCCAGATGGGAAGGAGCCAAACTTTTATTAGTAGCTATCAGGGGCATTTAGGGGCTTGGAATGGTATTTAAACCATCATCTTCACATGCAAAATCAAGCTACAAGCCTGGTGCCAGCCTCTTTACATGTTTAATTTGAAGCCTTGGTTATGTAATGTGACAGTTCAGATAAGGCAGTAAGATTAGACCATCATTAATAACATTTGCAAAAAAAAAGGTACCCATTCTGCCAAGATAGTAATTATGTCAATCTGCACAGTAGCTACCAGTATTTCCATGAAAACATACAGTTAAAGACTCCTTAAAACGCCTTCATTCATTTATCTAGCAAAAGTAGGCACATGGAGACAATAAGCAGCCTTGATTATTTTGTTTAAATGACTCTGGAATCTCTATTCCTCCAAAGAGTGTCCTAGGGAATTCTCTATGCAGTCCTCTATAATAAATAGCATCTTTACATTTGATCTGTTTTTGCAAAGAATTTTTTCATTGGTCAACACACAGCTAGGAAACAAGAACCTTCTATTCTAAGACATCAAAAGGAACTGGATTCAATGTGTAGATTTCACTGAGCCTTAAAGTAAGCTAACAGACCACAGCATATATATCTCTCAGCGCAGTTCAGAGAAGCAGCCTTATAAACCTCTCTTGGAGCTTCTTAGGAGATACACAACTATGCTTGCATAAGAAGTCACCCACATCATCTTTGGTAAAAAGTCAGGAAAACAGAAGCTGCTGTGTCTTAAAGGGATGACCTCTGTCAAGCAGAACAATGATACTGCACTTAAATCCACTTGCAGCCACACTATAATTGGTGAGGGGCTGATTCAATCTTTGCAATAACTAAACCAGCAGATTAAGTCCAATTTGAGGCCAGAGCGCAAGTCTGCAAATGACACTGTAAGGTCAGCCCAAAGTGAAATATGTCTTGAAAAATCTGGAGAAAGAAAGAGCAGAGGCCAGAGTCACCTCTGGTTTTAAACAAAGAAGTAACAGCCAGATGGCCCTGCAGAATTTGGCTGCAGAGTCCCTATACTTAAAAGCATCTCCAGCCTTTGAAAAATATTAAAATGCTCTACTGAAGTTGAGCAAAAGGAATGAAAATATTCACTGCTGGGTGATTGTGCATATTTCATACAAGAGTGGCAGTTCTGTGGAATTCATTCATTTCAAAGGATGACTATCCTATTGTGCAACCTTGCAGACTTCTGAGAATTCAATCCAGCTACTGAATTTTGGTTAACCGGGCACAGTTGCTCTGGGTCTCAATAACTTAGAGAAGATGCAAAATACCAAAGCTCAGGACAAGCAAAGGGCAACATTTAGAGTCTCCGATTTCCCCCTAAGGTCTGAACTAAACAATCGCAAAACTGACTGGAGATCTCCACTAAACCCAAATTTTGCAATGAAATACTCCAGTCCACTATGAAATAAGGAAAGTAGTCTGCGGTGAATGGCGAAAGTGCGATGTGTTATTTGCAGCACAACCGTGCCCAGTGACCATTTCAAAGGCAGAATGGGTACCCCACTCTTCCCTTACCCCTCAAAAAAAAAAAAAAAAAAAAAACCAGCAAATCTAAAATCAGGTAACAATGAATCCTTGATCTATGTCCAATTCTGGGTAGTAGTATGCTCTATTGTAGTTATTTTCTTTTTTGGAAACTATTTCGCCCCTCATCCACTTGTCTGGGGCCCGGTGGGTGCACATAAAGATACACAGACACACATATGCATAAATCAGTCACTGTTGAGGGTTAAAGACAAAAAAGGAAACCTAAGTGTCCATCGCAGTGGTATTACCACTGCGGATCCCTGGGGGCTCCAAATGGGAGCTCCTTAACCTTACAGGCAAAGGTGTGTGTTCAGGGGGGAACGGAAAAGCGGGGATGAGCAGGCAGGGAAGTCTAGAGATGGGGAGAGAGACCAAGACCAGAGAGAAAGACCCAAAGCATTCACTATTCACCAGAAAGTGCTCCGGCTTTGATTTCCACCCCAACCCTCCTCTCAAGGCTCCAGGCAGAAGAAAGGTCTCTGTAAACTCCTTCCCTGCGCTGGGCCCCTGGGCTCGGCCGGAGGGGGCACCTTTGTGTGTCTGTTTTAAAGGGCACCTTCGGAACAAAGGTTTAACACCTGCCCGCTGCTAAGAACAATGGCTGCGAAAGGAACGGAGTCATCAGTCTTAAAACTACCGGGGGATTCCCTAATCCTTGCTGGAAGGGGAGGGTGCTAGACACAGGAAGAAATCCCCCCGGGCAGCGGGACCCGGCCTCGCGCAGAGAGCTCCTGGAGCCTTCGGTGCACGCGTGTCCGTGGCCCCCGCGCAGTCCCGCCGCCCTCCCCTCCCCGGGCTCTCCCCGAAACGCCCCCACTGCAGCCCGCCCCATTGTCTGAAACGGTCTAAAAACTTCGCAACTTATCGAACCTGAGCAAATAAATAAATAAACCCATTTAATAAGGCCACGGTAATTATCCCGCGAATCTGCCTCTCCCAGACTCGAGGGCCTGGCGCCCTCCCGCTCCCACGGGCCCCTTCCAAAGACAAAAAGCAACCCCCTGGCCCTTTACCTTGCACACCAGCTCCTCTCCGCTGTGCAGATGCACGGCACGAAAAACGTGGTCTCCCTCCAGAGGTTCCAACAATAAGTATTTCCCGATGCAAGAAACGCAATGCGACAAGTTCGGAGTCTCGGGCGGGCTCGGGGAGCCGAGGTTCGGGCTGAAACTCTGGCTGGGCTCCGCGGACCTTATAGACGACAACTCTTCGAAATCCTGGGTTTTGTTCCGCGATCTCCCATATCTCGCTATTGTGATGGGGGTAGACCTGTGTATGTTCATGAGTGTGAGGATCGCACACGACAAACAAAAAAAACCCGCCGGAGAGATGAGTCGCTGGCGAGTGCGGCTGCAGGCGCCTCGGTGCCACTGATTTTAAAAGGGAGCGAGAGGGGAGGGGACAGGAGAGGGACTGCGTGGAGAAAGAGTTAGAAGCCCCCAAATGGGCGCCGCCGGATACCTTGTCTGCTCCGAGCCCGGCTCCCGGGGGTCCTTGGTCGGCAGGCAACTCGGGTCCTTTTGTTACCCCAAAGCAGTCGGCGATGTGCAGAATCGCCGCACTTTTAGTTACTCTGTGTGTGTGTCCCCAGCGTGGATCTGGATGAGTACCCGGGCTGCTAGGGTGCTGAGCTGCAGCGCCAGGGCTCCCGACGCGACCCCCAGGCCGGCTTCCGAATCGCAGACGGGGCGGAGGAGCCCGCGGTAGTTTGTGCAGTCTTCGGGGCGCTCACGGCGGCGGCTCAGTCCCAACGCGTTAGAAGTCAAACAAAAAGAGAAAGGAAACAAGCACGGGTCTACCGGCTGGCGACGCACGGCAGCCAGAATCCGCGCTGCACCCCCTTTTTTTGGTGGAAAGGGTGGGGGGCGTGGAAGGGGGGGGTGCGAGAGAGGGCAGTTACCTACGTTTTAACTGTAGATGGCGTCTGAGGCTTTTCCAAGATCGCGAGCTCTCCAAAAATTAAACAAACAAACAAAAAAAAGAAAAATAGCAAGGGAGCATTTAACTTGGAGCGGTCAGCGCTGCCAACAAAAGATTGCAAAAGCCGGGCACAGAGTTGCGGCGCGGGCTGGGCGCAGGTACCGCGACAAAGCCCTGGGCTCGGCCCGCCGCGCGGAGGTCAGCACAGGCTCATGCTGTCGCCGCTCGCTTGCGCCCTGGGTCTTCCTCCGAATGCAGCCAGACGTGCAAGAGAGAATAAGCACAGATCGGCGGTCTCCGATTTCGCCGGCACGAGCTTGCGGGGGTCCTGCGGGCGCTGCAATGGGAGCTGCGTCCCCGGCCCTTCCAACGCGCAGCGTTCCTTTGCCCCTCTCCCGCTGGAGAACTGGATCTCGTCTTGGAATAATTTGCAACCACTCCGTCTCCCACTACCCCGAGCCCAAATTGCCCGGTGGGGTTTGTTTTGAAGAAAATTGACGGCTTGTCTCCTCCTTCTTTGATTTCTTGCTTGCCCCCCCCCCAGAGAAAAGAGGGGACCGTATATTTAAAAATTAAAGGGGACGGCCGACGGTGCCCGAGGCCAATCCCCGCGCTCAGCACGCCCGCATCCCCCGGCGAGGCGGTATTAATAGTTACTTACGTGGCCGGGGATCTCGGAGCGAGCGGGGCCGTGTGTGCGCGTGTGCGCGCGCGCGCCTCGCTCGCGCTCGGTCTCCCCATTCAATGTCACCGACACATTTCCACGGAGCCTCCGCCCCCCCGCCGCCCCCGCGACTGGCTCAGCCCAGAGCCGGCCCCGCCCCGCCCCCGCCCGGGCCCCCCTCATTGCGCCGGGCGCCCATCAATCAGCCCCGCCGCTGCCAGTCCTCGGGCGGCTCCCCGCGCCGCTGCCATTGCAGCTCGGTGCCGGGGGCGCCAGCACCGGCCTCGCAGCTCCCTCACCCGGCCGGGGAGGTAAACAAAGTGAAATATCCTTCCGCGGCCCGGGGCCCCGGGCGCAGCACGCTGGGTCTCGGCTGCGCGCCCCGCAACAGCAGCGGCTCCGAAGCCGTCCCCCCACAATCTGCTCCCGCAGCGCCGACTCCGTAGCTCGTTCATACTCCTGGCGCTTTTCCCCAGAAAGCCAGGCACGCTCTGAGCATTCGGCCCCCAGGCTAAGATGTGGCCCTGAACGAGGAGCTTTGTTTTGGAGGAATGTGCTTGCATCGGTATTGCTGCCTGGAGTTTCGAGAATTCGTTTCATGGTATCTCTCCGACATCCTCCTCTCCATTTAAAAGGAAATCCATTGCTTCCTTTTAGTTGGTGCCACCGCTTGCCCCCGATCCCCACACCTTGGGCTTGTATTTCTAATATTTTCAGCAGAAGAGGAACTGAAGGCATCTTTTGACTCAGGTCAAATCCAATCACGAATTCTTCCCTTCCCAAGGCATTGATTGCCTGGAGGGCCTTGGAGGCCAAGCTAGACAAAACCTTGCACCCACACCTCCAGGGAGCGCTGTTGGGTCCCATCCAGGGTGCTGGGCATCCTGAGTCCTCTTGTGTTAGCCAGGTGAAGGCTGCAGTTCCTCCTCCCCCACCTCGCCACCACCACCCCCCTTCGCCACCCCCCGAATTATTCTTAACTTCCTTGGGAGATTCCAGTCCGCGGGCTTGGACAGGAACACAGGAGGAAAGGGGCTTGAACTCAGGCAGAGGCTTCAAACGCCAGCCTTGATCTAAGATATCCTGGTGAATGAGAAGCAATCTAGTAGAGGACAAACTTAAAAAAAAAAAAAAAAATCTCAAGGAACTGAGAAAGGGGAGTTGGAACGACTCCTAGAGCCCTCTGAGCTTTTGCATGCGTGTAGTATATTTTCCACTGGAGGAGGGGACTACATTATTTATTGCCCACTGTAGGACACTTTCAGTAAAAGAAGGGAGCTATTTATAATTATGTCCACTTGGGACAACAGTCACTCTAACGATCAGGAGTCCTGGGAATGTGGCCAGAGATGGAAAGGCCACTGACTATCAAGCTGCCACCCGGCAGCACAGAGTTAAAAGGAAAGTTAAGAAGTGGCCCCCGTGCCTTTCAGCCCATCTCACTATCCTACTCTCCACAAACCTGCCTAGGATTCAATCCCAGATCCCAGGAGAATAGATTTATTTCCCTAGGCGATCACCAGGACCACTGGCGGAGCAGGGTCCCCTAATCCAGTCTTACCCCAGGAAGTCATGTGGCCTGTGTTAGGAACAGACTCTGTGCTTGTGTTAGGAAGCAACCTCTGCTGTTGAGTCAGAAAGAGAGGTGCCTAGCCTCCTCTATGCAGTGGCCAAGAGAGCTTTGTAATAATTAGGGGTTGGGAGACCTTTATGCTAGCCCTGGCTGGGCCTCTGATTTCAAATGGAAATTGGGTGAAGACATTGTTTTTTCTCCCTAGGTCCCTGTTTCTTCATCTGTAAGATGAGAAGCACAGTACCCGCCCTGCTCACCTCATGTGGTTGCTTTAGAATTATATTTTCAATTCCAGGAAATCTATGAAGGCTTACTATAAGCCGGGCTCTGTGCTGAGTGTTAGGGATCCAATATGAGTAAGATCTGGTCTCTGCCACCCCAGAGCGCAGGGTCTAGCCCCGCAGAAAGACTGGGAAACAAATAATTTCATTGTGTAACAATGTGGCAATTAGAATATCAAGGCCTCAAGGGAGTATGGAGGAGGGAATGACTTTTCCTGAACCTCAGGGAGTTTTCCCAGAAAATGTGATTTTTATTACCTTGAACTAATCCAGAGCAAATATTTATTGAAACCTACTATGTGCCAGACATTGGATATGAAGATACAGTGATTTAAAAAATATATTTCCTGTCTTCATGAACCTTGAAATAGCCCTATGAGTCATAAAATAAAATGAATAAGAGATTGTTGTTGGCATTTCAGGCAGAGGGAAGGAATGTGGAAAAGCAAAGGAGTGGGATGTTCTGAAATTTCTAGTAATGCACCATGTTCCAGCAGTGGCAGCTGGGAGCAGTAGCCAGGCATGTGGCTGGTAAAGTAGACTGATTGGGATTAGGTCAGGAAGGGGTTGATAGACACAGCTAGCAACAGTGGTCTTCCCAGTAGAGGAGATGGCAAAGCAAGGCTGACATTGGGAAGTGACATGGTTGGTTGTGGGATTTAGATCCTGCTGCAGATCACAGGGAGCGATACTACTAGGCTTCCAAGGAAAGAGAGAGCAGAAATAGTATAAACCTCTAGTGATGCTGTACATGATTAATAGTGAATTTATGACTTCTGATGAAATTACACAGTGGCCATTCTCCTGCCTGTCCTTGAAGGCCAAATTCATGGCTCAGTGCTATGTTTGTTGATTAAATTCATGGGGCTATTGCAGTGCAGGATAAATTAGATAATTTATACCGAGTGCCTTAAATATTTTTTATGTCTGTTAACTCAGTAATTCTTAGCAAATTGGAAAATAATAAAAATTTAAAAAAAAATGTAGTAGGAAGATCTGGGTGGGGATCTTTATTCATTCACTTTTTAGCCATATGACTTTGGTCAAATTTAGAATATCTTAATCTATAAAGTGAAATTACAAGTAGAAATTTTGCCTTAATGCATAGCAATTATGGAAGATGTTTATTAAGCAGCTGGCACAATGTTTTGCCTATAATAAAAACTAAAGGCTGGGTGCAGTGGCTCACGCCTGTAATCCCAGCACTTTGGGAGGCCAAGGCGAGCTGATCACGAGGTCAAGAGATCGAGACCATCCTGGTCAACACTGTGAAACCCCGTCACTACTAAAAGTACAAAAATTAGCTGGGCATGGAGGCGCATGCCTATAGTCCCACTTACTCGGGAGGCTGAGGCAGGAGAATCTCTTGAACTTGGGAGGCGGAGGTTGCAGTGAGCCAAGATCACACCACTGTACTCCAGCCTGGCGACAGAGTAAGACTCCATCTCAAAAAAAAAAAAAAAAAAAGGCAGCCGTTATTATTATTGTTGTTGTTGGAATGCATTCATAGAAAGCAATCCAGCATGAAATAATAGTAACAGATAACATGTTTACAGTAATGGCAAGGTGTGTGGGAGTTGTTAAACATAGTTACAGAAATGGTTCTATACAGTATGCAGCAATAATAAAATATGTGGCAATTAAAAAAGAATCATATAATTACAAGGTGATATATTTAAACCAGTCTACTCTGAAGTAGGACAAATCCAGTTGTCTTGGGTCAGTAGCATGTTGTGCATGTTTTCTAGAACATTCTTTATTCTGAAATATATTTAGCTGCTCCTTCACTCACTTATTCACTTCATTGCTCATTAGTTCCTTCATTTACAAACACACAGTGGGCCTCTGCTAAATGTGAAGCCCTAAACTAAGTGCTGTGTGTGTTGATCAAATAATAATAAATGGTTTTTGAGAAGAAACCATAAGACTATTATGTCACTTTAAGACCTTTACCATATGTGACAACATTTCCCCTCTTTCAACTCTGGCAGCAAGTCATGTGTAGACTCAAAACTCTGTGACAAACTTCTAGGTTAAGTTGTAGAGAGTTCCATCTAATGCTGATGTGCATTCAGACTGTGTCCTGCTGAACTCCAGAACATTCCATTCTCATTGACAGCTCTGTGAATGAAACCCTGAGGTTGTGCAAAATGCAGTTGTCCTGGTCTGTTTGGGCTACTATAATAAAATATATGTTGGTGTCACATAAACAACAGGAATGTATTTCTCACAGTTCTAGAGGCTGGAAAGTCCAAGTCAAGGCATCGGCCCATTTTGTGTCTGGTAAGAGCCAGAGTCCTGGTTCACAGATGGCACCTTCATACTGTCCTCATGTGGTGGAAGGGGCAGGACAACTCTCTGGGGTATCTTTTATAAGGACACTAATCTTATTCTTGAGATCTCTGCACTCATAACCTTGTCACCTCACAAAGACCTCATGTCCTAATACGATCACATTGGTGATTATGTTTCAACATGTGAATTTGGGGGGACACAAACATTCTGACCAAGCAGCTGTTAGAGCCTTAGACGTAAACCCATTGGCCTGAAATTCAAGAACTTCCCAACAACTTGATCTCTCACTCCTGGTGAAATACCGGCCAGCTGCTTATCACCCCATGGACTCCAGGCTCCTACTTTTGTGCTTATGACTTGGATCATTTCCTCCTCCGTATTTGGTGCCTCCATGTTTCCCTGGAATCTTTTCCAGGACATTCCCTTCACCTTGCTGCACTCCCTCAGCTCAAGGTTACATTCCCCCGTTCTCTTATTTGGCTATGTGGATGTCTCAGGTTTTAAATGACATCTTCAAAATCCAGGTGACATGGTTATGCTTGGCCAATAATGAGGAAGTTTGTGGTGTTAATGCCTGAGCTCCCATCTAGATACTCCTGATGATGGAATCTACAGATTGCCTAGTGTCAGAGTCAGTAAAGGTAACCAAGAAGATAAGTGCTCCCACTTACTGCTTCATGCAAGATTTAACCAATCCATGTATGGGAAACCCAATCAGGATACATCCTGCTCTGTAATGTTTTAGGAAGTGCCATATCTTAAGCTGAGTCCTTCACCATTGCCTGAGTTCTACTGTTAGTGATACATTACTTTGCATTCAACTTTATACTCCCTTGCTGCCTTCCTTGAATGTTCTGCTAACTTATGAAGAGGTTCTGTCATCCATTTGTGTAGGTAGAGAAGAAGGAAGAGGTTCAGGGAAAAGGGTGAGCACCTTCATGGATGCAGCCACTGGTCCACATGATCCACATGATCCTTTGCGTATAGTCATGCTGCCTAGCTGCATTCGGTGATGATGGGGTCAGTGGCTTGCTTCTATGCTTTGACTCGTGTTGACTATATTAACTGCTTGTCATAAATTGCCCCATTACTTTGAGAATATTCTCTGTTACTAACTTTAATAATAGTTGTATTTTAATTATCCCTTTTGAATGCTAGACCAGCCACTTTGTTTCTCTCTAGTTCTTGTACAACTCTTCGAATTATTACTCCACTTTACGGATTGAGGAAACAGGACCCAGAGAGACTAATTAATTTATTCCATGGTAGCCCATTACTCAGTGGCCCTGGAGGTCATGTGTATGTGCATGTGTGTGTATGTGTTTGTGTGTATTGAGAAGAAAGGCGGCAGGAGAATAGGTTTATTCTGAAACTATGTGATTATTTTTTACTATATCACGTTGCTTATCACTAGGCTTTCTAGAGTTGACTGAACCTTTGGATTGAATGGCCCACGTAAAATCCTTCCATAATGGTGATTTCCATTCTCAGTTTTTTTAACAGCTCATGTTGGAGAAGCAGCTGCTTATTTACAAGGTGCTTTTTAGTAGTACCTGTTAAAAGGTCACCTTTTAGATGTCACCTTTTTGTGCAGATATACTTTCCTGTTTTGCAGTGGTTGATGTATTTACATGAAATTCTGTGCACAGGGCCCCAGTGCATGATCCACAAATTGTCTTCGATTTAGAATGCTGTTTGGGCACAGTAGGCAATAGAGGAGGAAAAGGGACACAAGGAGAAAGTGCAGGGGAGACAACAGAGAGTGGCAGGAAGGAGAACTGTATCATACAAAGATAGCAGGATTTTCCACTTGACTGACCTATGCCTTTTTGCTTGTTTGTTTGCTTGCTTGCTTACTTTACCATGGCTAGGCTGGGGATGTGTTTTTGTCTCTGGATAAATTGTCCACGGGGAAATGACCAGTGTATAAATACAGAAGAAATAGCAATATTAGCACCACTTCCTTCTAGGCCCTGGTTTCGTAACTCTTCTTCTTACATAGGAAAATAGCTGTTGCGTGCTCACAAGTGAAATGAGATACAAGAAAATTTTGTTGTTGTTCTTAAATTAGAGTAGGGTGGGAAATCCAACATATGGGAATTTTCTGAGTGTTGCAAATTGTCTACCATCCTGTTAAGCATTGCTGAGCAGCTAATCAAGAAAAGTAAAAACAGGTAAAATGAAGCAGCTAGTCCAGGAAGTGCTACAAATTTACATATTATATAGAGTGCTAGGTTACTGTAAATGATTCCATTTGAAGGGTGTTCTGGTAAGTCTGGTGCATGTTCCCACACTTAGCACACAGACCTCAAAGGCGCAGACAGACCTGGGTCCAGATCACCGCTGGTTTCACAAACTTCAGAGGTCTTGAATGGTATTTAACTTCCCTGACCATCATTGCTCTTGGGTGGAATG